ATCAATTAGATCACATCCAGTGAAAGGACCTTATCAATTAGATCACATCCAGTGATAGGATCTTATCAATTAGATCACATCCAGTGAAAGGACCTCATCAATTAGATGACACCCAGTGAAAGGACCTCATCAATTAAATCACATCCAGTGAAAGGACCTCATCAATTAGATAACATCCAGCGAAAGGACCAAAGGACCATAGCAAAACAAATAAGTGACAAATATACAAGAAACCAGAGCGTGTGCTGGTTGGGATTGGCAAAACACGAGAGAAGTGTTAGGAGAAGCACGATGCGTAACTACGCAATATTTCTATAACAATTATTTAATTAATCAAATGAAGAAGGCTTGACAGAGTTTGCGCAATATTTTCTTTTCCATCTCAAATTGAGCCAAACCGTCGAGTGTTGTTTTGTAGGTTGGTTTCGTGATTGTAATCTAAATGTTTCTTCAACCAAAAGTAATTTATTTCCGAGCTTTTGGGCATTGATTACTAATCATAAGGGTCAAGTGTCTGCATAACTCAGTGTCTGCACAACCTTGTACAACAACTAGGAATCTAACAATGAGTACTCAAGATGGATTTATTTATTACCTGTTTTATTTGTTCAAGTTTGAGTTTCTGAGCGAGGCAGACACGATGAAGCACTTCTCGCATGATAACATCGTTCAGTTGTATGGTGTGTGTACCACAAATGAACCTGTTTACATCGTCATGGAATTAATGATTCACGGTGAGTGAAAACCTCTTTTTGTTTGGGTATTGGTTAAGCCAAATTTACATAACAGGCCAAACTTGAATTGGTATTCTTTGTGCGCGCTTAACTTTCTGTCTTTCCATTAGGCGCCTAGAGGTCGGGTAAAAAAACCTGATCCAGTTGGCATTGCATTGCTTTTTTGGGATGTTAAAATAGACGCCATCTTGGATGTATGTCCCCGAAAACAGCCCCAAAATGCACTGCAATGCCAGCAGGAACCAGTTTTTTTACTCGACCTCGGGGCGCCTAATGAAAGACAGAAAGACAGATATTACATATATATACATAGCGCATATTGCATTGGGAGATGTCGCTCACTTACCGAGAGAGATAGAGAGAGAGAGAATGAAAGAGGAAGAGTACGACTGATATGAGATAAAAAGGTATTTAAAGGGGTTCAATGGTTGTGTTTAGCAAACCCCATTTCGGCAAAGCACTTAATGATTGCTAAAATGCATTGGATAGAAGACGACGCGTTTGACATTTCTCTGGCACATCGGTGGTTCGAGGATGGTTCGAGTGGTAGATAATTGTTGAAATAATTGTTTATGCAAAGCTGATCCTGGGGAAGAACGGGCTGTATTTATATATTTTATTCGAAATTTAAACAAACATACATTCTTTTTTAAGAAGATATAACTAGCTAAAAACTAGTGTGAGCTGCGTCGGTGTTTCTAATGAAACAGTAATGATGAAAAGGTAAATTATACACCGTGAAAA